GCAGTCTCAGGGTGCTGGATTTGGGGTGGTACCCTCCATGCATGGTTAGGAGCTTTCATGTCTTCACACCTTTGGCCTGTGTCTCATCCTTTGGCCAGCCTATTATTCCTGCAGGGTATCTGATTACTGTTTGAGTATGGCTATTTATTGCCTGAGACTTATTCTTGTCTTTGTGCTAGCTTCATAGGAACTGCCTCACTGGTTGGAGGTATTTGGCCGTAGCTGCTTTCCTTGTCACCTCTTCGGGCTTCCCATTTTGTGGAATTCCGAGGTACTTGTAACTGTCTTCAATGTCTGCTATTGTTCCTTCTGGGAGTGAGACCCCCTCTGTGTTGACTACTTTTCATCTCTTAGTCACCATCAGACCACACTTCTCTAGTCCAAATGACATCCCGATGTCTGTGCTGTAGATCCGGGTAGTATGGATCAGTGAGTCAATGTCTCGCTAATTCTTAGCGTACAGCTTGATGTCATCCATGTAGAGGAGTTGACTGATGGTGGCCCCTTTTCTGAGTAAGTATCCGTAGCCAGTCTTGTTGATTATTTGGCTTAGGGGGTTCAGGCCTATGCACAACAGCAGTGGGGACAGCGCATCTCCTTGGTATATGCCACATTTGTTGGAGACTTGTGCAAGTGTCTTGCCATTGGCTTCAAGGGTGGTTTTCCACAACCTCATTGAGTTGGCAATGAAGGCTCTTAGTGTCCTGTTTAAGTTGATAAGCTTAAAGCATTCAATGATCTAAGTGTGTGGCATTGAGTCGTAGGCTTTCTTGTAATCAATCCAGGCAGTGCTGCGGTTAGTGTTTTGGGTTCTGCAGTCTTGAGCGACTGTTCTTTATACCAGGAGCTGATGTTTGGCACCTCTGGTATTTTTACTCACTGGATGGAAATGTACCCTTTGAGGGATCCTTTAAGATCAGGATTGTGCGCCCTTCTGTTAGCCATTCAGGGTGGTTACCATCTTTGCCACGCGTTCATGTATTGCCGTGAGTTTCTTAAGCCATTAGGCATGTATCATATTGAGGCCTGGTGCCGTCCAGTTCTTCATACCTGAGACTCTTTCTTGGATGTCTGCCACTGTGATGGTGACTGGATTCTGTTTAGGGAGGTTGCTGAGGACTCTCTCAGAGCCACCAACCACTGTGCATCACTGTTGTATTCTGCCTCCTTCTCCCATATGGCTTTCCAATACTGTTCAGTTTCCAGCTTTGGTGGGGCTGTTCTACTATTGCTCCCCACCCACTGAGCATACACTTTCGCTGGTTGAGTTGCGAACAGCCCGTTTACCTGTCTTGCTTAATTATCTCTTGTGTACCTCTTTAGGTGGCTGGCCAAGGCTTGGGGCCTTTGTTTGGCAGTTTCTAGTGCTTCAGGTATGGGCATTTGGGTGTACCTATTGGGTACTTGCTTATTCATTGCACCATTTAGGGCCTTTGTCAATTGACTCACCTCTCTCCCTGTTGCCATGACACACATTTTTACCTGAAAGTAAAACACTTGACATCATGGACAAACAAAATGGACTGAAAACCTGATCTTGGACACAAGAGGAGTAAAAAAAAAAAAAAAAAAAAAACATAATATATTAGAAGTAACAAAATAACTAGTTGAGGATCTGTATTACTTGTGTCATCTTCTAACTTAAAAAATGTAGGAGTAATTTTTGTTACATTAATTTTTATTTCTGTGTAAAATTCAGGGTCATGGATTTTTATGTTAGCCCCAGAGATTACAGTTTCTCTGCACGTAATGATGTGTTTTCTGTGCATTTGACATTGCAGTGACTCATTTTGAATGTCATCCGTCGCTATAGGCATGCTTGGTGTGAGGGATTGCCTTCAAGTCAATGAGTCAAACTGGTTTTCCTTAGATAGAAATCTTTTAATCAATTTGTCTGTATGATCTGGTTGAAAGGTCTCTGTGAAGTGTCTTGAGATGACATGACGTGTTGTGACTTGGCACTATATAAATAAACTGAATTGAATTTGTAGCAGATCTTGCTGACGCATTCTGTACAATAATGGAAACATGAACTCAGCTATCTATTTTTTTTTTCTCTTCCTGAAACGGTAAAATGAAACTAAAACTTTCATTATTAAGGAGCTTTTCTGATTTTAGGTGCTGCATGTAAGACCGTACGTATGTATGCTTTAATACCTCCTGTATGTTTTAACTGTAAATTACATTTCATGCGGTAACTGTCTCTACTTATAAACTACCTCTATTTATGCCTGAAAACAATTATTTGTTAAGGCATGATGTGCTTTTGTATTAAACCTACCGTTTTAATTACCACTAGTTTTGCTTTCCATTTATATTCATAGCAAATGAGACTACATCTTTTTAGTGATTTTTATTCAAAAGTATACTTCAGCACACCGATACCAGTTTTTAATGAATCAAAATCAAAATAGTGATCTATCTTTTTGAATTGAAAATACTTTTTCCTTTTTCAAGGTAGCATAAAGAGGCATTACAGAGTTCTCTAATACGGCCACCTGTGGCCAAAAGACTGAACTGCAGCACTCTTCTGCATTTTCTTGTAGCTTTTTTTTTAACCATTTCAGTTGTGTCTGAGTTGAGCTGGATGCCTGACACTTCTGAATAGCCACAAAATCTATCTTTAATATAATGCTTAGATTTTTTGCCAGATTGGACTTTTTAACATGGGCGCGCTTGACGTCACATCTGCTGAACGGCGCGGGAACTTCCAAATCGAAGTAAATTATGGAAAACAGGCTACAGGTTTATAGATGCATCAGTGCAGAACTACGGAGATGTCAGTCTGATCATCAAACAATGTTTTAGTTGTGAAGGATCAAATTATTCGATTATTATAAAGATATTTTTCTAGTAAAAACTTACATGTCTCTTTAATAGTGTCTCTTTCATAATGTCTCTTTCATAGCTTAATTCTTTTCACTAATATGGAGCTTGGAAAAAGAACTTTTACACATTGTTTTTTAAAACCCTTTCCCACAACAAAAATGACTACATGTTTTTGTTGTATTAGATTATTGTTTATTAGGCAAGTCAGTTTGTGTGTTTTTCTTATGTCATTGTAAATCCTACATATTTACAGACCATAAGTATTCTTTAATTGTGGATTCTGGCCAACATGACAAGTTTCTGTACCAGCGGTTTAGGGAAACAAACATAATGATGTGGATCTTCCCTTGAGCCTGCCTTACCCAGGTTTCATTACATTCTTCTTAAACACAGACTGAAATTTCAAGAAGTTGTTGTTAATCGAGCAACTTATATAAGATTACAGTTTAAAAAAAGCTTAGAGGTTTCCAGTATTTTTAAAGTTAAATTGGAGGACTTACACCAACTTGTGACAGACTAGTTACACATACATTTTTTTTAGGTGAACTATTTTATTCACCTGCATACCCGCAGTATCACATCTTCACATCTGAGAGTGTCAGTAAGACAGCTGTAAATCTTTTAACATTTTATCTGGCAGGATAATACAACATTCTGAGTCTAAATAACATTTAGAAATATCTTAAAGCAAGTAAAATGGGTATTGTTTCTTAAACTGTTTAGTTTTTGTAACAATAATTTCTGTTTACAAGTTTAGTCAAATTTTAACTTAAATTCGTTCCATTGAAAAAATGCTACTCTATGTATCAAGTTATGTTCATTGAGATTTCAAATGGCCTGTACTTATAGTACTTAAAAAATTTTTTTTTTAAAGTGGCGCCGTACACTGCCGCCATCTGACTACCATCAGTAGGCAATGCAGGTGAATTGTCTTGCCCAAGGGCACAACGACACTGAAAGCCAGAGATGGGACTTGAACTGTCAACCCTTCAATTTCAGGGAAAACTCCTACAGCCATAATTAATCCAGAGAATTAACATACAAATAAAGTTACACGTGTAGGTTACAGAAAGAAAAATTAGCAAGGATCCATCAATTAGCTGATAATATAAGGTCCACGCTGAACAAGACTTACATAAATACAGACGTCACTGAATTACATCACAGTTCATCATCTGTGCTGCCGGCTTTGTGTGGCTGTGTGTAGGGTATGTGTGAGTGAGTGTAAACACCAAATTAGTGCTTCGTCACTATGCTGCTTCACTTCCCTACAGCACATTCACAAATGAACATTGTGCCCTGCAGAGTCCTCTCACATTTTCTGTCTGTATCTGATAAAGACCATTTGTTAAAAACACCTCTATCCCAGCCATAGTAACCACATATGGTCTCATTGTAGAGTTGGAGGAAATTTGTGGTTTGAAGGAGCACTGATCTACATGAAGGGAAATTTATTGATTGACCTAAGTTGTGTCCCACCAGAAGTTACATTTCAGATATCAGATAGTCTTTCTGTTAAGGAATGGCATCTTAGAAACTTTGGAGAATCTGCCCAAAAGGTTCCTCTTCTAAAGTTGATTGAGTTAGGCTGTCTATATTCAGATTCTGCATTCATGCAAATATCAAAACATGTCAGCTCTTCTAGAAATATGTTACGCAGTTTTACTTTAAAACAATGAGTTCATGAAACGCAGTGTTGTCACATTGTAAAAAATGTTAATATGGATGTTGCCTCAATTCTTTCCAGTGTAACTCCTGTTACTTTCTTTGTAGCGACCTCTACTGTTTAGATGGAAAACTGCAGGAAACACGTTGTTTATCAGGTGCTGATAACAAATTTTTCTGTGGTCACAACATTACTCCACGGTCAGTTTTAGTATACTCTTATTATGCAAAGCCTCCAGAGAGGATTATACATTTAGCTGCTTAGGATAACCTGCACTAATGTTCATCTAAACACGTTTCTTTAAAAGATATATTGTGAAAGTCAGTGTGAGTGAGGACCTAAAGGTTTCCAATTAAACCCCATATCGCCGCAGGTCCCAAAAGACAAGATGCTCTTTTTTTGATGAAGAGAAAGGTGCTCCCTCTCTTTGATTCGCTTCCCTCCCTCTCTCCCGCGTCCTATAAAGCCGCAACAGCTGATCTCGGGCATCAGAAAGAGCTGCAGCTCCACAGAGGAGACAAACGGAAGGAGAAAGGAGGGCAGAGAGAAAGGAGAGCAACTCGATAGTCTGCTCTAGTCTTCCAGCAATAAAAAAAAACAATAGTTTACAAGAAGATGAGATGCCATCTGAGAGGTTAAAATCCTGCGCAGGTTTTGAGACGTTTTTTGGACTCCACGGTTTTCTTTGAGAAACATTTTAATCCCTCCCTTTACCACTCCGAAAACAGTCCCAACTCGCTGCTTGCTATATTTTATTCATTTTGCTTTTTGAGAGACGTATCACTTATTCATTTGCACGTATTTTGGATTTTCAGCTTGTGTTTCTTGCATCCGAATCCACTTTGTAAACGCCAAACTGCTGGTCTGCTGGAGCGGATCGGACAGCAGTGGCTGGCTGCGCAGAGGAGCTGTCCGGTGCTGAAACCTGCAGGACACTGAACAGGAACTGTTTGATGAGTAAGACGTTAGAAATCGACTATTTAACGTGAACTAACAGGAGAAACCGACAATTGTAATGGAGAAAACACCCAGGAAACGAGTTATATTTCTATTCTAGATACATTAGAGCTCCACAGGTCTTCCAGAGTCAATTTTTAACTATTACACGTATCTGCTACTGAAAACCAAGACGTACAGGATAAATACCTGGTTTGGGTTTTTTTAAGAGCATTTTTTTGACGGCATAGGAAGCCAAACTATTATTTAAAAAAAAAAAAATCAGCTTATTTCCATCACTGGGTTCAGACGTAGGTCTGGAAAAAGAAGACAAGCGTTTATTAATCGTATGAGTGCAGCAGCAGTGACTGTCCCACCATGCCTCGATCTTTCTTGGTGAAGAAAGTCAAACTGGATGACTTCTCGGCTGCTGAGCTGGAAAGCTCCTACAGTCACAGCCGAAGAGAGGAGCTCAGTCTACGATTCCATCACCATGACAAAGGTTAGTCACACACTTGAATATATAGAAACACGTCCGCAGGGGTCATTTAGTGTTTTCATCCAACCATAAAAAAAGCTATAAGGGATTTATAGTGAGGAAGGAAAAACTGATGACAGGGTTGAACCTGCATCAAATAACAAAGATATACATGCTGCACGTCATCCAGTCAAAGGAATGCAAACTTTTCATATAAAATCAATATAATAAAGATCAGGAGAATATGAGCACATATATTTAAGGATTATCAACAAGATAAAGCATGTTAACCTTGCTAAGGACAGAATTCTGAAAATATGACCTTAGAAACGCGTAATTGGAAAATGCTCCAGCTTTTCCTGATGATTTCATGGAAATATTTTTAGATGTGCACAAAAAATGCACACCTAACATCAGCAGACAGGAAAAAAGTTGCATGCAAGCAAAACTAAGTGTATTCCAGGTGGTTGATCTTTGATGTGAATAATTTTCTAGGTCGCTGCGCCAGCATCACATAGTTTATCTGTAACATTCAGACTTCAGACCCCCCCGCCCCCGAAAAAAATAAATAAATATATAAATATCTGAAGGGTCAGGTTCAGGTCCAGCTCTTATGCAGAAATGTATAATGTAATTGTTCAAATAAGAATCAAATTCAGATCCATGTATTAGTTTGGTCCTAACTGATAAGGTATTGAAAATGATTTAATGCAATTGACTGACCTGCTTTAAATGGATACATATTCCCCACTGATCAGTATAATCTGTATTAGAATGTGTGTGTTGCATTGAGGATTTAACTTGACCATGGATCATTCGATCTATTCAGTTTATGTGAACATTATTGGTATCTATTTTATGTAAATGAACTGGGGCTTTTTTCTTGCAAAGTGAATTGAAATCCCAGCTCTTGTGAACTGGCTTATCTAAGCAAGCTCAGCCAACTGCATATAGTTAAGACTTTGCAGCAATTCCTTCTTGTGAGCAATTTTGCAACATTTGAGAGAAGTAATGGCCTTTAAAAAATACACATTTCGAAATTTTCTACATTTAAATATTTTTCCTAAAAGAAAGTGCCTCATTGTCTACAGAAGCATAAGCAATAAATGCCTACTTGAGTGCTTAAAATTTTACAGGACGAAAGAAAAAATATGCAAATTCTGAAGAGGTGATACCAACACGTTGTTCTTTTTTCATCCGTAAATGTAATTTTCAATAAGCCCCTAAAAAAGCAGTTTAGTTTGAAATTGTTTGAAGATAGTACAAGTCTATTTGGAAAGTCTAATCTGCTTATATAAATACAAAAAAGAAGCTAAACAGGTTGTAAGATTTCATCACTAATGACCTTTCTACAGAACACCATATAAAAAATGAACTAAAAACTAAAACAACTTTAAAACAAAAACCTACTTCTGTCTGAGGTCCCGCTGTAATCATAGACTCCTCTGATCTGTAGTGTAAATTAGGGAGGATATCTTCAGTTTATCTAACCTATACAGGAACAATAGAAGATGCAGGAACAATGCAAGAAAGCAAAAATATTTATATCAAACAATCTTGTAGTTAATAGCTGTGGGGAAATCCTGACTTTCTGTTACCTTGAATGTTCCTTAAATCAATGTCACCCAGTAACTGAAAGTATTTTCCCCAAATTTCAGTTTTTATTATTCCCATCTATAATTACACAAACAATTCTGACATGTGCAATGAAGTGATTGAACTGGCACAATGAAATCATATTAATGCTAGTTGTAGCAAAAGTAAAGTATAAGCAATTATTAGATTAAGTTAATCCTATGCATATACTGTACTGCAACAGCAGAATGCTGAAAGTAAAAAAAAGAAAAAACTAAACATTCATATAAAAAAGAAGGCTCATTGTTAATTCCTAATTAATAGAGCTTAAAATAGAAAACAAATATTTTTCCAAACACAGAAAACTGTTTATGATTTCTTTGCTTGATTTCAAGTTGACAGATTTATGAACTAAGATGTTAGATAAATTCTAATTATGGACAAGAATATAAATTCTTAGCTAACATCCAACATATAAGAAGTAGTTAAAAAAGGCATTGTGATACACAGAAATTACTTGGACCATCTTTTGTGCTGGAGCCCTCTGCTGATTTATTATGTCAGTGAGCAGGCAGCTGTTTTCAGCACACAAGGTCTGATAAGCAGCACCATATGTCAAACTGAGAACGGATTGGCCAGATAGAAAGAAAACACTAGTGAATGAACAAATGAGTCTGCACTGGGATGAAAATAACAGCTAATCAGTTAAAGCCCTTTATAGGGTAGTATTATGCATTAGTTTTGTGCTTGTCAGCTCCTTTCTGCCCTCTAGTGGGCAAATCACAGCAGTTTGAAAGGGCTGACAGGGTTTTGTTCCACCACCAGCATGTAATTGTGCTCGTGCTGCCTGGTTAGGTTCACATTGTAGCAAGGTCAAACCTAAGAAGAAGACATGCCATTTGCTCAGATGGCAAACCAGAAAGCATAAACTTGCAGCAGTGGCAGCAACAACAGAACCTGTGTGGCCAGCATGTAAAAACTGTGGAAATGATCCACTGTTATAAATATAACAAGAGTTTGAGTAAAACAACTGCAGCTTGTTGCGCTTATACAAGCACACACTGGCATTGCTGTGTTTCTGTCAACTCGGCACATTTCCCAGCCAGCTTGCACAGCTGAGTGCACAGCATCACACTCAAACACATGTGCACACACACACACACACCGTGACCTACAAGTGTCCAAAGCACACAAGTGTGCATCAGTCGCTGTTGGTTTGAATCAAAAATTCAACCGTGGTTTGCAGCTTTCTCTCTTTTCTCCTTTTCCCACTTTTCTTTCCCATTCAAAGTCATTGCATTTCAAACATACATGTGATATTAAATGCTTATCTTTGCCTGGGAATTTAATCTTTAATAAGCATTTTAAACAGCTTTCAGCAAATGTACTAACATAAATGCAGAGCGGAGACACATGAAGATAAAGAATTAGAGACAGACCTCTGACACTGGGGGAAAAAAAGGACCAGTTAATTTTTTTGTCTAAAATAATATATAAGCTATATTTACAATGATTGTTAAAACATGACACTGGGTCATGCAAACCCAAAATCTGACATTCAATGAAGTCTGTCAAGTGACTACCACAATGTCCGGTTGGTTTGCCATTACCATGCGGTCTGTCTGTATCTGGAAGTCCCACAGGATCTTGGCTCGGTCATCTCTATCATCTCTGGAGGTGTTTCCCAATTTGACCTTGGGGTTTTCAGCCCATATTCTGCACAGATGTTCCTGTACACTATTCAAGCCACTTGGTTATGGTGCTCCATGCAAGCCTTCCCTTCTAGCATCACACACACTGCAGTTATGTGCTGGATTGTCTCAGGGGCGTCTTTGAACCTGTGGTCTTGTCTGGTGTGGTAGCACACTACTATATGCCTTAATATGGTTAGCAAGAATTACTTTTTAAGAATTAGCCTTTTAATATTAGTTTATGAACTTCAATATGCTAATGTTAACATTTGCGTATTGAAAGAAATCTGAATATCCACCGGTTGATTTGCAACTCCATTTAGAGGAAGTTTGTTAGGATAGCCAGCAGTCAGAATGTACAATAACTAAGTGCAATTGCAGTGACCATTTTTGAAATTTGGCTCTACCCTCTCCTTTCTGGACTTATATGCTGTGTACATGGTGTAAGTCCATCTGTCTGGGTAGGTCTGTTGTATTTTTTGCCTAAGCTATAGGAACAGGACAATGTAAAAAAAAAAAAAAAAAAAAGGAGAAGAAAAAAATCAGACTTTAGGCCAATCTCCCTTTAGTGGAGCTACTGAAATTTTACAAGTTCAAGGCTGTGGTTGTGCAGGGAAGATCAGGAGCTTTTCTTAGACTAAATACCTGATCAAATCAAGCCCAAAAGCTATTTTTAATACTTTATAAAACAGGAAACAGTGACACACATACACACACCCATACACACAAAATGCTGTAAGAGTGCAGTAATAGAATATTTATGAATCACGATTTTCCGCCTTTCTACCACACCTCGCCACTCTTCTCTATTGTCCTGCTCTCTCTCTTTTTAAAAATCTGTCTTAATTAAATTTTAAACGTTAAATTAGAATCAGAGCAGAGTACAACCCTGTCATAAAAAACACCACCACTTCTTTCTTTCTCTCTCTCTCTTTTTCTCTCTTTTATTTCTTATTATCGATCAACATTTGAGCTTTTCTCAGAACTGCATCATGAAATTATATTACCAGCAACAGTATCTCCTCTGCTGTCTGTGTCTTAATGCCCACAGAGTGCTAATTGAAATGGAGAGCTATTGATCGGTAGATCCACAGGAGTTTTGGCTGTGGGTTATTAGCTACCAGTCTCTTTTTGCGTCTGTTGGAGTTCAGCCTGTTGAGCAGCCAATAATAGAAATAATGAAGCAGCCAACATCAAAACTCACTAAGAAATCATTGATCTGATTTGTCAGGAGCTGGGCAGAAAAATGCTGGGCTAGGCCCGAGGAATCTGTGAATCTCGAGGCAGATTTGCTTACAGTTTAGCTTGGGAGGGAGATTGTCAGTCTTAGTATGCTCACTGAGCACTAGACCTCCCATCTGCTGTAATAGAGATGGTCTATGTTACAACAGCCAAAGTTCTGACAGCCCCAGGGTGTGACGGTGTGTGGCGATGGACTTGTCAGGAAAGGTGCAGCTGATGAGGAGCAAGTGTGCTCACTGAACCTTCTAAAAAAAAAGATTTCCTACAGAGAAATGAAAGTGCCTGCTCACTACTGTAGACATTTTTTTTTTTTCATAAAAGCAGTTTACTCTCTTTATAAATACCTCATGGTTTTCTTTCTAATTTCCACCTAAAAGGAAGGCACAGAAGAAGACAAAATACGTTCTAAAAGCGAAACTGTGTGTTGATAATCTTATCCTACAGTTGATCCTCAACTGGCAACAGAATCACCAGGTCTTGAAAGTCTCTGTGCAGAACCGTAGTCTAGGTAGCTTCTTCCAGGACTTAGAAAATCCAGGTTAAGTTGGCCTACCAAACAGGAACTTTGAACCACTTTAACATTTACATCCCAAACAATGCCTTTAGCATGTGGCCTAACACTCACAGCCTGTCCTAGTTTGAATTGGCCCCTCATTGTGTTTTGCTCAAATAACCAAACAAAAGCTCTGAATGCAATGTTTCATTGCGAGTTGTGCCACTTGCTTGAGCCAGCTGGCTCCAAGATCTCCAGAACTCGTTAACTTGTTTCTGCTTCTCTCTAAGTCCTTTGTAGAAATAGCTTGCAAAGTCAAATGTATTGATTCTTTTCACTACATGCTTCCCTCTCTGAAGCTATGAATTCTGCCACCACAGACTAGTAATCCTGTTTTTGGTTCTCAGTACACTACCAAACAGTTTATGCTTCAAACTTTGACTTTCTACTTTTTGACCTCTAGAGACAGCTACACAGACCTTTTTTGCATTCTACCAATGCTTTGAGCTGATGTAGATACATCTTTAAGTGACTAAATTCATGGAAACGTAGGAACTCTGGTCCTGCTGGCCTTACACTGAAGCATAATCAAGGTATTTTGGCCCAGCTCCTCGTGAGATGATGTCTGCCATGTTGAGCAATCTGAAGTTTTCCAATCCTGTTGAAAAAGAAAGTTTAAAACCCATAGTTCTCATGTTGGATAGGTCCAAGAATTGTTTGGCTGTCAAGCAAATAATACCATTGCTTTATCTTAACCTGAAGGTGCTGCTCATAGACTTTTTAAAGCAACTAGCGAAAACCTTATGACAAAGCTCTGCATCTCCTTTCCGATCTATGGGTCAGTTTTGCATTTGACTCCATTATTTGAATTGTTATTTGGTTGCAGTAGGTCCTTCGAAGGTATAGGTCTGCCCCATGAGTTCTCACTACCATCTAAGAACGTGACTGCAACAGGTTCAGTTGTAACACCTTGAGTAGTAAAAGCTCTTGAAAACTTGATTTTACCTAGTCGGACACAATCTTAAAATAGATCTGCTGCCTCTCAGCAGAGTTGCAGCCACGGCAAGAACCCACTTATCCTACCTGGTTTGGTAGGACAATAATTTTTGTGTTGTATACTGACATTAAAATCTCAATGCTTTTGCAGCTCTTTTTTCATCACCACTGAGGAAAATACTAACTTGCTTGACTCTATTGCTTCCTTACACATTACATGTGTAATAATATATCCCCGATACATAGTCTTGCAATTTTTAATATAGAGAAATACAAAAAGTGCCTTGTTTACTAACAAATACAGTAAAAATACTGTGAAACAGAAATAAATTCTAAAAAAACAAAAAACCACAGTAAATAAATAAGAAATGCTTTTTATGTAACCACAGAAAGCTACTGGCATAGAAATTCATACCAACTACAGATCATTTCCTTACTACTCAGTGGAGGTACAGCTTGTATTTGTGGTCTTTTGTATTTCTTTATTTCACAAACGCTATTTAAAAAACATAAACAATCAAATGACCTGAAGTTGCACATATTTCAAGTAAAAAACAGATTCAGAACAGGTTCCCGTTGTGATCTGCATGTGAGAAAAGGAAAAACGCTGGATAAGATGGTTTGTGGTATTTTTTTTTCGAAAACACAACATATTACAGAAATAATCAATCAAAAACAGTTTTCCGCTGCACATATTTTAACTGTGATGATTTTGGATCAATCCTTGCACAATAAATGATCTCTTCTTTTGTTTCCTCAGGTTACGTCAGTGATTATCTAAGTCCTAATCCTTATGATGAAGTTGTTGGAAGTGAGTCATCAGTCATCTCTAAAGTGCCCTCTCCGAGTCACTCATCAATCATCTATGGCCACATTAACAACACCTATTCAGGTATTCATGGTGACATCCATGGGGACTCAGACCAGCCGGACAGTCCGAGGTCTGAGGTCTCATCTTCAGCAGGCGGGTACATTAACGGAGATGCAGCTGTGAGTGAAGGATACACAGTAGATGCATTCTTCATCATGGATGGACGATCGAGAAGGAAGGTTGCAACAAACCCTAGAGGAGCCTCTCAAAGGCACACATGCAGTGAGTGCGGCAAAACCTACGCCACGTCCTCCAACCTAAGCCGCCACAAGCAGACACACAGAAGCATTGATAGCAAGATGGCCAAAAAGTGCCCCACATGTGGAAAAGTGTATGTCTCCATGCCCGCCATGGCCATGCACTTGCTCACCCATGATCTCAAGCACAAATGCGACGTATGCGGAAAAGCTTTCAGCCGACCGTGGCTGCTACAGGGTCACATGCGTTCGCACACTGGAGAGAAGCCGTTCGGATGTGCACACTGTGGGAAAGCTTTTGCTGATCGTTCAAACCTGCGCGCCCACATGCAGACTCATTCAGCCTTTAAGCATTACAAGTGCAAGCGGTGCAACAAGACGTTTGCACTCAAGAGTTACCTGAACAAGCACTATGAGTCCGCATGCTTTAAGGGGGCTTTTTCCCCGATGAGCTCACTGAGTGAATAAGGAATTCAGAAAGCACATCTAGAATTTATTTACTTAACTTACATCTGATTTTTTCTGCTTTACCCCAAATGATGAACCGGAGTACAACAAATGAGGAGATTTTTTATCTTATTTCAAACCCCCCAGTTATTCTTATTTCATGGTTTATTGAAAAGTTTGAAAGAACTTCAAATGATTTATTTCACAATGAGGTTCTGTTGAGTAAACAGAGCACAGCACATCTAGGGCTTCATATTTTGAAGAAACCTAGATGTATTTATGTCCATATCAATCCACGTCAATTTTTTCTAGCCATGATGAAATAACACAAAAGCACAATTGCTCCTCCATGTCTTTGTCTTTCTTAAGAGTTTATATGATCAAGCACAGAAACCAATCTCTTGCAGAGTTTCATCAAAACAAATTATTTTCAGCTTTTCTTTGATACAAAGCTGAGGATGCTTCTTGTATCTTATTTTTAGTGAGGCTGACTCTGACTGACTTTCAAGAAAATACATGCAATTCAGAAGAAAATATAGATTCAGCTTTTTAAAAGGAAATATTATAAACAGGTGCATCTCAGTTTAATAGAAGTGAAACTCATATAGTAGAATGGTCCCTTTCTAATTGTTTAGAGGACAATCATTGGTATCCAGAGTATGCTACAGAAAGAGGCCTGCTGTTCACAGAAAGTTTTATCCGGACATATTGACAGAAAACTGAATGGATGGAAAAAGGGCAGCCTTTGCAAAGTCATTAATTATTCTTTACTTTCAGAGCCAACTCAAACAGATTTAATCATGACAATATGAACTAAAGTGAACACTTGAAATCCACCATATCATTTCATTCTATTATTCAAATAGTTATTCCAGCCACTGCCAAGTATCTAGGCACGCAGACACCTTCTACCCATGTACTACCATAATAGGATGTCAGCAGTGTGGTAAGCCCAGTCTTGAAATTTCCTCACAACAAAACAGCAGCTTAATTCAAGCCATGATGTAAAGCACACAATTACTGGACTATAGAGCAGTGTTCACTGTAGTTGTGGATTTTGTCTCTTTGTGTGTCAATCAATGGACTAGTCTGAGTTTAATATTTTTCTCAGCCCCAGGAACTATTAATGCTTGAGCATTTCATGACATTTTGGACAATTTATTACCACTATCTTTATAACAAAGGATCAGAAAATAAATCCTGTAATTATATAGATGTTGAAGGTTTGATATGAAATAACTTGGTAAGCCTGACTGAAATCTTAAAGGAAATCTGTTCAATATAACTTTCACTTCTCCAACACCAGTAGCTACTGTAAACCCATAAACTCCTGAAGGTATGGTCAAAATTTCTGGTAAACACTGGGAAACCTTACTAACAGAAGCTGTTTAACTGTGAAAAGTTGGTTAAGAAAAGGTTGATGAGCAAAACAAAAAAAACAAAAAAAACAAAACAAAAACAAACAGTTTGTTTAACTCTTTGTGATAAATCAATATTATATATGAGTTTCACTTTCCAAACTGGATGACCAGAAGCAATTACTTTTGAATTTCCATGATTTTTTCCCCCAATTTATTCAGATCCACTTGTAATACTCTACACTATTTTTATACCACACCTTCATCTGTAATAATCCTTAAACTATGATAAACAGTAAAAAAACACTCCTAAGGTTAATTTATTTATTTGTACGGCATTTTGTTGACCTTGATTTGAGGCTGACTTTCTAGTTAAATACGATCAGCACCCAATAAGCCATCAGTGTACTCGAAAACAAAGTTTTCTTTTGGATAAAATTAATGTTAAAATTATTTAATTATTTAGGCATCATTTTTTCAAAAGAAATGTAGGCATTAAAAATGTCTGTTGTTCCCTTAATAAGGTTAAACCTTTTCCAATTTCTAACATGATGAATTTGGAGCAACTCCGTTTTAGTCTTGTGTGTTTATGTGTGCCTATTTATTTATTTGTTTATTTGATTGTTTATTTATGTATTTATTGATTCGTTCATTCATATATTTTGTATTATTTTGCACTTTATTACAGTATTTTTGCCTTTGTTACAAATATGCCAAAGCATTTGACACTTTTTAAACTCTGGCTACCTTTTTATGTTTGCCACTTTAAGTATACAAAACCTTTGCATGCAAAAAGAATTAAAGAAACTATGCTGATTTCAAGATTTTTTTTATCTATATTTTACCAAACTTAGATAACAGGCAAATTAAGAATATGATCTGTCATGGGCAATATTCGTTCACATCCAACAAAGCAATAATGCATGATGTTTAAAGAAGCGTTAGTCATAACTGCTTGTAATTTTTTTTTCTTTTTTTAGCATTTAACCACTTGTATTCTACAATGTTGCAAGAAATGACATTTCAGGGAGTTAGCAAAAAAGTGTTGAATAATTGATGGGTTGGGATGAGAGCTCTAAATTTACAGGAACTGTGCGTCTTGTGATTCCTGGGAGAACTTTCTGAACTTATTTTGGATTGCAAACTGTTTAATATTTACAGTAAGACCAGAGTGAATATACCATTTTTAAAATATTTAATCTCTGATACAAAGCCTGCTCTCCAGAATGAAATCCAAGTATCGTTAACTTATTGATGACATCTGTGTTATTATAAGATTTTAAGCACTACTGGGACTTCTAGGATTCACACACATGAATCAGCTCCTTTATTTGGAGAGCTCTGGGTTGGGCGGATCATTTTGTACATGGTTTATGCACTGCCTGCCTTGTATTATTATTCTAAGATATTGTAGAAAGTAGAAGGTAGATCTCTGGTGCTGAAACATAAATTAAACTTTTCCATGTGTTATCAGGTTATTGTCCCAAGTGTTAATATGTTTTTTATTGGGATTTTTTATGATAGAACAACATAAAGCAGCATGTGCTGTAGAGAGCTTCATACGTGGGAATTTGTGAAAAACATCCTTGATTTGGGCTCAGTGTATTTTACAACCACCATAACATAAAAATGATTAAAAAAAACATTTGGCATCTGTCTGACCTACAATTGCATATTAAATTCAGTCATTCTGGACTCAGAGAAATGAAGAGACTTTTTTAAGTTTGGCAATCGATATCTGATTTACTTTGGCTGGTCAAGTATTTAGCCATTGTAACTTAGACCTTAATCTAAGTTATTCCATTGCTCTATATCTGAGGTGGAGTGGTGTTGGGTCAGGGTTGGTAGGTTGAGGGCAAAGTTGTACTTTCAGGAAGTGGAACTTTATCTGACTTTTAATCTTGTGCACCTTTTTAACAAGTTCACTGAAATGATTTCCCTGTTTTGTTTTTAGCTTCATCCATCTTCCAAATTGAACAAGCTTAATTTTTCCTGCCTCAGAAAATCATCCTAGTGGGATTTCATTAAGGACATGCTGTGAAGTATCTGTCATAGCAGTTACAGTAACCAATAGGCTGAAAAAGCACAATTTAATCTCATCTTACAAAATTTGAGTTTTTAAATATTTTGCTTTCAACACTCTTCAATAATGTGCAGCTGAGCAGAGTGATACTGATCCTCCTCCGGTGCTCTCACTTGAGATGCGAATATCCACCATTACCTTGAGCCACATGGCTGCTTATTATACCTCCTCAGGTTGATCTGCTTATGTACAGTAGCTGACCATGTCATTGTAGGTCTGTTGATGTATTAACCTCTTTCTTTTTTGATCTTGATAAAGCTGCTTGGTCAATAATGTTTTCTAACAATCTCTGAGATCGATTTCACACTGCTAGATTCAAGGCAGCTAACGAGGCAACATTTGACTCTGTGATATTTTATTTTGGTTAAGACGTATCAGAATTAAGAAGGTTGAATACAAATGCATGCCACACTTATCAGATTTTGATTTGTAAAACTATGGTAAAACCAAGGGCGGCACAGTGATACATTTTTTAGCACTGTTGCTTTGCAACAAAAAGTTCCTTCAGCTCCTGGCCTGAAGTCTTTCTGCATGGAGTTTGCATGTTCTCCTTGTGCATGCATAGGTTCTCTCTGTGTATTCCAGATTCCTCCCACAGTCCAAAACAACATGACTGTTAAGTTAATTGGCATCTCTGAATTGCCCTTAGGTGTGAACCTGCAAAGGACTGGTAACCTGTTACAGTTACTGTTACTGTACTCTGCCTTTTGCCCATTGACTACTGGAGATAGGCACCAGCCAACCTTGACCCAGGTGGATGAGCAACAGAAGTTGGATGATTGTTAAAACCATGTGAAATGTCTTCCATTTTAATTATCTTCCAATTACACACAATTTAATATTTTTCCTATTACATGAAATCCCAATAGAAAATATTGAAGTTTGCAGTGGACAAAATGTCAACAGGTTCAAGTGTTGAAAACACCTTTGAAAGGCACCGTATTTACAAAAACTGCATTTAACTTTAAGATTTTAGACTTTGTAACTTTTAGACAGTAACATGCTGTTTTCAGTTTGCTAAAGGGCCTCGCTGTTTAACAGAACCACAGAAAGGTTACATATGGTCAATATTTCAGCACCAGAGAGCATCTGAACACTTAGACTCTACTATGGATTACTGTAGCCTAATATAGCCACAAGGTAGTTAAACTATTCTTATATAAAAGCACTTCCTCTTACAAATTATATCTCACAACTCTTTTTGAGTCAGAAATAGTAGCACATTGAAAACGTTTAGATTCAGGTAGAAAACAAGCCTTTTATGTAGAATGAATAACCTCCTTCTCCATTTTTTATTGTGATGAAGAAAATGCTAAAAGAACCTACTGAAAACACACAGGATGTACTGTCCTTCAAGTAAACGTTAAACAAAAAAGTGACACTTCCAGTATGCGGAATGCTGTGCCATTTTTGGAAATACTTCTAAAAGCTTCGACTCGACACATTTTTTTAAGAGCAAACAAGAATGCATCTATTTTGCAGCTAAAGGCCTTGTACATATGAACTTATGTGACTTTGGAGTCGGACTATTTCTACAGATCTGTACAGTTAGGATGATGATGAAGATGATGATGACTATTTTTACTGAAGCTTCCTGTTATGAGTTCTTCCGCCGAGGTTTGTTTAGACCTCCAAATGAGTTTGTGATTATGTAAAGCACAATAAAAACACGCAAAAATTGGTTTCACTTCCTAAATAAAGGCTACTTTAAAGCAGTGGAGTGTGAGGTGTTTTCATACCGAGTTGTGTGTCATCCCTAATTCTTTTGCATTTAAAGTTAACCCCTATGGTTTTCCAGAGGAAAACAGATCTGGGAGCTTAGGCACCAAGAAAGAGAAGTTGACTTATTTTCCGGGGAGCAATGTATGTTGATGTTATGTTTGAATCGTTGTTCTGCGAAATGAGAACTGAATCTCTATAGGGAGAGCGTTCTCAGACTGCGTTTTGATATCTTTCAATATTCAGAGCTATGAGCGCTACTGTTTCACCTCACAATCCATCACATCCATCCATGACCTTATCTGTCCTCACATTTACAACACTACACAGACCTCGTTAACGGGTAGCTGGGGATACATCAGGAGGGCATTAAAATCATTGTGCTGCAGTGTGCAGATTTTCAGTTTTTGGGTTAGCGTCTTGAGTCGTCTTCACCGCTGCCTCTCAATCACACCGATCTTTATTCCTTGCTGTCATCTGTACTTTCAAGATGGCAAACTATCATGGTTCGAAAACAGGGAATCAGCCTTATGTATAAACAAAAATAAACATTTTTGCTAATGAAAATCTCTTTAAAAAAAATCTGTATTTGAATGTTCGTGGGCAATAGTACACCAATAATAATTATGTAAATGTGGTCATAGATTTCAGGCAGTAAAAAGGTCCCTTTAATATAATTAGCCTGCAATTACGAGAAAATATTTAAAAAGATTTTTTCCTGATTATAGCTTTGGGGAGCTCTACTAGAGTCAAAATCCCAGTTTTGTGTGTGTCTGGGTGCGTAGGTTTTTACATTCAGGTCTCTTCTTGAGAAAGTGCTATAGGAAATACTTCCTCTGTGGTAATATGTGTAGTGTAAACGTCCACACTGTACATGCTTCTTTGCTAAATTATTTAGGAAATATATTTAGTATTTTATTTACCAGAGTTATAAGCAATTTATTTCAGTTAACATTTCAGATAAACCTAGGCTATGGTCATGATTCAAAGACAAGTGGCGGTGTATGGTTTTAAAATACAAGTGTTTTAATCACTTGAGTTTTGAATACTGTTAATCGATATCTTCCTACTGATTTGTTTTCTCCGCTCACATACAGAAATAGTCAAGATGTCTAGGCGCATTATGATATGTATAAAACATTTCCTAGAGGATTAAAAGAACAGACAGTCTATAGGTAAAATAAAGAGCAGCTACCAGCGCATCTGACCTAAAGAAATCAATATTCACATTAACAAAATTAAATTATTTAGCTCATGTGTAAGATTCTTATATGTTACTTTTGTTTTGGGTTAAAGAAAGAAAATTACGTGCATCCGCTTTCCTACTTTATTCACATCGATACAGATATAAAAATAAATATGAATACATCTAAATATGTACAAAAAATATCAACCATCCTTATAATAGGAAGCAGAATGTAAAGCTGTTGTAACAGCAGAAACAAAAGTAATAGTTGTAATATTTTATGTTTTTGTATGGAATAGCAACCTCCACTATCTGCAATCTGTAGGCTGAATCTGAGCTGATAAAAATAAATAGATCTTATACTTATTTCTGACAGTTGAGAAAATTTTCCAACCTCAGAGATCTTCTGTCAATTCCAGCAATTCCCAAACACTTGGCTTGCTTTCAGCCATAGATTCCTTATACTTAATGGCTACCATCTGCCAGTACTTTAACTCAAAAGACAAATGATCTTCTATTAAAGGGTGATTGATTTTCTCCTATTGCTGCTAAAAGTATTGATTTTTGATGTGCTGCCCTGGTCCTTTAATGACACTAATTCTAATATTCAGTGGACCTGAAAAAAGGCTTTCCAGGAATAATAGCTACTATGTTTTTTGCAATGACTGGGTGTGTGTGTGTGTGTGTGTGTGTGTGTGTGTGTGTGTGTGTGTGTGTGTGTGTGTGTGTGTGTGTGTGTGCGGGTGTGTGTGCGGGTGTGTGCGTCCACACATGTGTGTCTTTGTCTTGTAGGAATACTTGATAGACCAAATGGGATTTGTGTTTAAATCTTATTCCTATTATACAAGAGCTGGAACAAGGGTAGGTCAACTGCATTAGGTTGGTTAAAGTGTAACTAAAATTTTTATCAAAGTAATGAGCAAAGAGATTTTCATAATTAACTAAAAAATATGTATTGTGAAAAACAAATCAATCATTACTGAGCACTGTGAAGGTAATGTGATGTCACTCTCTTATTTTGGTGAAGCACAACATTACAGGAACTAACAGAAGGCTTGTTTCTGTAATTCCAAAAATTGTTTTTAAAAAAACAATACACTGGACTTTTTAAAAAATTTGAAGACATTTCGCTTCCCATCCAGGAACCTTTTTCGATTCAAAATTCCTCTGTAATGTTTCCGTAATGCTTTTGCTTTTATTTTGAGGACCACCAAACTTTCTCTTTGACGTCATCTCCCTGAGGTAAAGATGAATTGGTTCTCATGCAACAACATTTTCGTGTTTTTATCGTAACTTTCTCTTACATTTTCTCCCACTGTGGGCTTCTGCAAGTCACCACATCAGATTCAACAACGTCGTAAATGATCCTCATGAAGGCTCATATACAGGCTTGTCTCTACCGCCTCCTTGACTGTAGGTCACAGCTGTACTAATCCCTGATTGGATTTCATGATGCAAATGTAAATAAAGGTTCAGATTTTTTCACTCCTATGAATTTCGCTTTGCTTACCCTGCAGGTGCGACGGTGATCTAATTTA